TCAGTCAAAATAGACGGTTCCACTTACATGAAGTGACTCGATTTACATGAAATGCCCAGCATAGGCTAATCCACAGAGAGAGAAGAGTGGCTGCCTGGGGCTGGGGGAGGATGGGGAAGATGGGAATGTCTGCTTATGCGTACGGAGTTTCCTGTTGGGGGGAAGAAAATGCTCTAAGATTGACTGGGATACACAATTCTGGGCATAGATTAAAATCGCTGTACATTTTAATGGGTGAATTGTATTAAAACTGTTAAGAACAAAAGCACCTCGGGCCAGTACCTTCCCATGGTAAATGCAAATTGCTAACTTTTATTAGAGGAAGAAGAAACTGCCCTCAGCATGAAAGCAGGAGATCAGCAAATGTGAGTTAACCGAAATTGGACAAGAGCATTTCACTTGAAACAGTTGCTGAGTGTACACGAAATATTCAGACATGACAAGGGAAATCAGTTTGACATCAAGAAGAAGCATTCTGCTTTAAATGCAGATCAAGGATTCGGCAAGCCCAGCTGCTAGAAGGGACCAGAGAAGAAACCTGGTTCTTAAAACAAGCACCAGAGCCAACAAGGAAATGGTGCCGAGGAAAGCAGGTGGATAAAAATCTGGAGCAGTTTGCTACAAATAATTTCTCCACTGAAAATTCAAAAATAAAATGAAAGTGATGTAATGCTGTGTTGACCTCACTTGAATGGGCTTTCTCCGGTGCTCCACAGTTTTGTAACCTCGAATGAGAGACTCAGGAGAATCAGCATGGCTCCTGGGAGTCCCCAAGGGACTGCCCACCAGCACGCTGACCACCATCATATCTGCCAGGATTGAACTGCAGAGAAGAGACCAACTTCTGAAAGGCACAGGAAATATTGACAAGGGAAGAAAAGGCTACTTTCAGTCCTGGGGCAGAGGCCCTGTGAGCAGAGGCCAGAAGGCTGCAGGTGAAGTGGAGTGGCCCTGGGGCAGGAAGGGACCACGGGGGAGCAGATCTCAATTCTCTTCTCTCTCTCCCTCGGGTAGGAGAGATAAAGCCTGCACCCTTCTCACCTGGAACTGTGGGTTCTGGCTGGCAGAAGTCTTACTAACACGGAATGAATTACTCAATACTGTGGAAAAAGGAAAGAAAGTGAGAGGGAGTAGGGAGCCAACTCCAAGAGCCTCTCAAATGCTCCCATATTTATTGTGTATAATCAAAGGAAAAAGGCATTAACAGTTGTGTGATAGTAAACAGGAACTCGAAGAAAGACAGGATGAGACAGTGATTGTAGAATCCACAATGAGTAAAAAGGCTTAGTTTACCT